CTGGGTCCGAGTCCACTGCGCTCACCACTTTTCCACTCCTCGCCAGTCATGATAACAGCGGTCTGCGATGTTTTAGACGTCGTCTGCTTCAGAGATGAAACGCGCTGTTCATTGTGGATTTTGACGTGCTGATTTGAAACATGAAAATTCAAACAACCGATTGGCTACTGTTACCAAGATATTTAAGTTTTTACATTTTACGTCGATGTATTTTGTGTAGAGTTTTACTAATACATTGTTAACTGAGGTCTTTTCACGTGTTTATGGTTGCTTTACATGATTTCATTTCACCTGTCTCATTTATGTAACACTTTAAAAGTCAGCAAAAAGGTTATAGAAATAAAATGTATTATGAAACAAAAGGCAAAAAACTATTGTGTATATATAAGTACATAGTTTAGTCCTCATTCAGTGTCTACTCGGCGCTTCTTGGCTTGTCTCTTGTATTCATTAAATGGAGCATCTCTTGTCACTGTCCAGCCATAGTCTGCCGGCATTGATGGGCTCCATTTGCCCTGAGAGCGTTTCTCCATCGTCGCAATCTCCTGGTGACATCGCTCGCCATGCTCGTCGCTCGCTGCTCCGCAGTTCGGTGGGGGAACAATCGAGATGAGAGTGCAAACAATGTATCTTTAGTGGCATGTTGCGACCAAGGCTTTGTATGCCCTGAGGTTTTCCGCCAACTCCCTGTAGTTGTCTGCCTTGTTGTTTCCGAGAAAATGTGTTGCCACTAACTGGAAGGCGTTCCATGCTGTCTTTTCCTTGCCACGCAGTGCGCTGTCAAATGCATCATCTCGAAGAAGTTCACGAATCTGAGGACCAACAAAGACACCTTCCTTTATCTTCGCTTCACTGAACCTTGGTAATTTTCCACGGAGGTACTTGAAATCTGCTTGTGTTTAGTCCATTGGCTTTGACAAAGTTCTTCATCAGGCCCAGCTTGATGTGTAAGGGTGGTAACAAAAACTTCATTCAATGACTGTCGGAGTGGCCAATCTGTCTTGATGTAGTGGGAATCTCTTGCGCGACTATCCCATTCGCAGAGAAACCAGCAGCAGCACTTTGTGTGTCCAGTCTGCAGACCAGGCAAGAGAGCAACAACCTTCACATCGCCACAAAGCTGCCACTGATGTTGGGCATAGTTTATGCACCTCAAAAGTTGTTTCAAGTTGTCATAGCCTTCCTTCATATGGACTGCATGATTGCAAAACATTGTCATTATGCAGCAAAACAGCTTTAAGACTCTTTTTCGATTAATCAATGAAATCTCCACTCACCTGGATCAAGAACGATGTTGAGGGCTGCCATCACACTATCGATGTTGTTGCAGGCTACAAGATCACCTTCCATGAAGAAGAATGGGACAAGATCCTTTTGACGGTCACGGAACATGGAAACCCAAACATCACCTGCCAGGAGATCCCACTGCTGCAGTCTGGAGCCCAACAGCTCTGCCTTGCTCTTGGGTAGTTTAAATCCCTGACAACGTCTCTCAGTTCACCTTCTGTTATGAGTGGTTCAGAGGAATATGGGAGAAAATCTGGGTCATGTGACTTTGATGGTTCAGGACCAGAAGTTTCATCCTCGTCTGACTCAAGTGAGAATGGTTCTGGTGCATCAGGAACCAGCAGTCCTTCTCCGTGGGGTATAGGGCGGATAGATGATGGAATGTTTGGATAATGCACAGTCCACTATTTTTTCTTTGACGCACCTTTCCCAACTGGAGGCGCCATGCAGAAGTAACAATCGCTGATATAATCTGCTGGCTCTCTCCAAATAATTTGCACTGCAAAAGGCATCGATTTCCTTTTCAACCACTGGCGAATATTTGTTGAACAAGTGTTGCAGAATATATGTGGGGCCCACTTTCTGTCCTAATCTCCAGTTTTGCAGCCAAAATAAAGGTGATAGGCTTTCTCAACGACTGTCGTCATCAGTGGGACAACCACAAAAAATGTTTGCTGTGGTTGTCCCACCTGATGACGATTATTTTTCTACCTACGTGACTTTACTGAAAGAACCAAAGAGTATAGCAGAAGTGATCTGCTTTGTTCGCACAAGTACGAGGCATCTCTGCTCACTTTGGTGAAACAAAAATGTGCTCCTTTGCAAAATCAAACACTGACAAATAAGAGAGCACGACACTGCGTGATTTCTAGGGCTGATGTAGGGCCATTTGTTCAGCAGAGGGATGTAAGCCGAGTTATAATTGCATCATCCATGACTTATATGAATAACACGATGCAATTCAAATCACGAATGATGCAATATCAGGTTTAGATTGCATCATTCATTGTTTTGCTCAAAAAGCAAGTACTGTCCAAACCCTGTCATAGATGTATTTATAGATCCAGTGAAAGATGTATTTGTCATTTCTGGTTTAATTTGAGATCCCTTCCCTTTAGAACTCACTCATCCTCCGCCATTCCCAAGTCAAGGGTCGTATATCCTGCCCCAGTAGCATATCTAGAAAACTAGAGCCAATCAAACATTTTAAGCATCATTTTCATTCTCAGTGAATTAGTATAGTTGGACATTTCGGAAGTATTTTGGATGTAAACCAGTGTAATCGATGAAGCTCAGCTCCCCACTCACGACACGTCACACACGGCCCACTTTGCTCTCAGCCGCCACGTGAATTCAAATCCAAGGCACAAAGCAACGCGTGACGGACATGTTTACGTCGCCCCCAATTTTATTTGAGCGGACTTCTCCCTGCCATAAACACGTGGAATATAACACCACTGGCTCAAATTATAGAACAGCAGATCGCCCAATGCCCGTTAGAACACAAGATGTCCTTCATGATCACCCACATCTTCAGTAACAAGGTGCGTGGTGGTGGTGGTGGGTAGTGGCGCACTGTGCCTCGACCCCGGCTACCCGAGTTCGATTTCCGGCCACCGTCGGTGACAAATCTCTGAACCGGTCCTGGGCCTCACGAGGTTGACTCAGGCTTAAATGAGTATCCGGTGGTGTGTGAACATCAGCACCGGGGAGATAAAGGCGGCCGGGCGTGGAGCTGGCCACATCCCACTCGCTCCTGCGCTGTGCCGACCTTCCCAAGTGCTCACTAACAGCACTTGTCCCGACAGTCCGTGTAGACTATATAGCGGAGATTCATACTCGTCTTCGGTGTAGATCTTGGCCAGAATGCGTCTATAACGAGTCGTGGAGGAGTTTGCCAAGGAAAGTCTTACCGAGCCTTTTCCGGAAGCTTCTGCTTGTACGTTTGGCCAATGCGTTCACTCCTGATCTCAGGTCCGCGAACAGCCGTATAATCATCATCGCGACCACAAACACCGCATGAAGTGATGGTGGCATCACCGCAGCCCTCACGTGGCAGGCGGCGTGCACTTTGAAGCCGAAGGCTCACTGGCGGCAGGACGCCATGGGACAGACCCCAGGCATCCTGGGTTAGCCGACAAACACCGCCACCACCAACACCACCATCACCTCCTTTGGTTCACTGAAGAGCACAGCTAAAGAACCGCCCAACCCATTAACATTCAACAGAAAGCAACCAGGCCCCGCTAGGGGCTCGTTTTATTTAGAGACCGTGACGTTTATGTCACGCTGCATAAATTACACCGAGCAGAAGACAGCAGGGCAGAGTAAACGTCGCTCGCCCCGCGGTCTCCGCGCTCGCTCCCCGGCCTGGTTATTGCCTGGCCGCCACGGGGCCGCAGCAATGAGGAGCCGCCGGCCGCTGTGGCGGCAACCGCAGCGTCCGGCGTGCGTGGAGGTGACCGGGCGACGCCTGGTTAACTACGCGGGGTCAGGGTGTTGCCCCGTTCGGTGCCGTCACGGGAAACCCGGTCGGTGATCGGAGAGTGCAAATATTGCACCGTGGGTGCGTGCGGAAGCGCCTTCGCGAAGGCGAAGGTGCCGCGAGCTGCAAGTGCTGTGTCAGAGATCCCCGTTCACCCGCCGCCACGCTCAGTTTGGACGTTGATGCGCCGGGAGTAAAACGTGGGACGCCGTGCCAAACAAAACGCGGTGCAATCCCAACAATACATCGTAGAGGCAAACTGTTACCCTGCCGATCCGACTGTGAACCCGTGAACCTGTTAGTCAGCTGGCAAAGGGCAACCGCAGAGCAAGCGTCTACCGAGGGCTATGCCGGTGCCGTGTTCGGTGGCCAGAGGTACCGGCGCAGATCCAACCGTGACACTCGTCTCACTGCCGGGCGTCTCCGCTGAACGTCCCGAAGAGAGCAAGGAGAACCCGTGGATGTGAGACACTCCCCGAGAGGGAGCGCCGTGACCCTGGCAGTGAGAATACGACCCGGTGGGGGGGGGGGGCTCTGCACGCCCAAAGGAGGGCGCGGGCAGCGCCTCGCCGGCACACCCCTCACCGACTCCCCCCCACCCCTCCCCCTCCACCACCTCCTCCTCCTCCTCAGTCCCTCTTCACCAGGGGGATATTGGCCAGGATTTCCTGAAGACAAAGGAAACGAGAAACTTCAGCAGCGTGTTAACGACTGGACATTGATGCGTCGAGGGACAGGAGGAGGCCAAGCCGCGTGGGACAACAACGACACCGAGTGGGAGTGCCACTAGGGGCGATGCGCTCGCGCCGGACACACACAGCCATTTGGGGTGACGGGGGCTGCGCGAGGGATTATTGGGGCTGGCTGTGAGAGACAGGAGCTGGTGTTGGGATAATGAGGACTGGCGTTTCGATCGACAGGGGTCAAAGCTCAGCATCACGGTGGCCGGCGCTCGGGGTGACAGTGGCCGGAGTTCAGGACTCCGTCGCCCGGTCCTGACCTGCAGCAGCCGCTGCTGGTATTGGGCGTCGTCCTCGTTAGCGGCGTGGGGCGGCTCGGCCCGGCCGTTGCGATTCATCTCCGCCAGGAGTTCGTTGATGTCGTAGCGGTGCACGGGGTCCACGGAGTTCTCGTTGACGAGATTCACCAGGTACTCCTTGTAGTGCAGCCTGAGCGGAGGGGGAGGGGGGGGCGGAGGAGGAGGTGACGATGGCGGCGATGGTGGAGGGGGTGCCGGGGGGGGCGGTGGTGATGACGGCAGTGGCAGTTGTGGAAGGATTGGTGACGGTGGCGACGGTGGTGGTGATGGCGGTGTTGGTGGAGGGGAGGGAGAGAGACTCTCATTGGCAGGGGCGCACGCCGGCAAAGCTCATTCCAACCGAGCAGTGGCAGACCCCCGGGTGTGGTGAGATGAACGTTTCCAAATGTTTACTTCACTCCGCTCTGTCGCACTCTGTCCCGTGCGGACCAATGAACGGTCACAACTCCCGTCTCCCCACGGCAGCGGTTGCCACCGGTCGCGGCGAGCGATGGCGGCCGTCACCGCGCCGTCTTACGTGCTCGGTGCGGCGTCCGTGGCGGAACGTCGGCGCGACGCGCGCCGACGTTCTCCGCACCCGTCCGCCTGCCCCCCCCCCTCCCCCGGTAAGCGCGATCCTACGGTAGGGCCTGGTGAAGGAGGTGCTCGCCGGGACAAGGCTCACTCGCAGAGGCCGGCCTGCCGGTCGGCGACCGCCTTGCCGCACGCCTCGTCGCGCAACCCGTTGGCCAAGTCCTTCTGCTCCAACACCTCGCAGAGTCCTGGCACAGTGGCACACGCAGGCGTTGGCAAGGCATCGTCATCGGACGGCACCACCATCATCAGCAGCACCACAACCATCATCATCATCAGAAGCGCAATCGTCAGCTTCATCATCAACTCCATCATCATCATCATCATCATCTTGCCAATGTGCAGACATCAGCATGGCATCATAATCAACAACATCATTCAAGCGTTAAGTGCCAGCAACAAACTGCACTGTTTAAGATGTCATACTTTTTTGTAGGCAATGGGAGAGGAAGTCGAATGTGGAGGGAATAAGCAAAAAAGAGAAGTGTTGCGACATCTGGCGAGTGGTCAGTGGCTCAGGGTGTGGTGAGTGAGGAGGTGAATGAGTAGGTGAATGAGTAGGTGAATGAGTAGGTGAATGAGTAGGTGAATGAGTAGGTGAATGAGTAGGTGAATGAGTAGGTGAGTGAGTAGGTGAGTGAGTAGGTGAGTGAGTAGGTGAATGAGTAGGTGAATGAGTAGGTGAATGAGTAGGTGAGTGAGTAGGTGAATGAGTAGGTGAATGAGTAGGTGAGTAGGTGAATGAGTAGGTGAGTGAGTAGGTGAGTGAGTAGGTGAGTGACTGAGTGAGTGGGTGACTGGTTGAGTGAGTGTGCTATTGTGACCTGCAGTGTGGCGCTGGTTGAACACAGTGGTGGTGATGGATGAGACGAAACACAACACTCAGGGTCTGGTAGAGAAGGAATCGAGGAGCGAAGTCCACAAGAGCACCGAGTGACCATGGTAGCAGCAGCGAGAGAAGAGCGACAGGGAGGCGACACACGGCCCGGGCGTCGCAGGAGGCGCCGGGACTCACCGGTGTTGGCGACGGTGCCGAGCCTGGGCTGCACGTTGAAAGCGAGGTTGTGGTCCTGCACACAGCGTGGTCGTCACACGGTCACAATTACCACCGCTCGCAGTGAGCCCGCATCTCGAGAAACACGTTTCGACGTCGCCGCCAAACGGTAACGAAGGCGGCGGTGCGGCTCGTGCGATGCGCTCGCCGCCGCGGACGGGGGCGGCGGACGGGAGCGGCGGTCGTGCCATTCCATCAATCGATGCCAATACTCGGGTCCCGTGAAAACGACGACCGTCCCGACATCCCGCCTCCTGAAGACGGGAAACGTCGACGGGCCACGCACGGCCGGCGCGACGCAGGCTGACGATGCAGACGGCATCACCGAGCGTCGCCCGTCACTTCCCGTCCGTAGTTGGGCACAACCGGTCCAGATGTTCGCCGATGTTGGCCGTGAGCGGGAATCGAACCCACCGGGTTTGTAGCGCAACGCGCTAACCACTACACTTCCGCTCCCCCTATTTGGATGCATACGCGCTCACACGCGCACACGCACGCACACGCACGCACGCATCGATGAAAGACGGCCAACCCACGCGCCGCTGCGCCACCACTCACCGTGAGCAGCGCCTGCAGCCGCTTGATGTCCCAGTCGCGCAGGTAGTGCAGGCAGTCGCGCGGGTGGTGCGCGTGCAGTCCCATGTTGGCGCAGCCCATGCCGCACTCCTGGGGGTCACGCAGGTCAACGTCAACTCGCCGCCCGGCGAGGGCCGTAGCGGACTCGTGGGGCACGCGCCGTGAGCGAGCGGCACCTATGAAGGCCGGGGTGGCATGCCAACGGGCGGTGTGGCCGGCACCAAGCCCGGCTACCTTTGTTTCCCCAGTGCTGAAGTTTACACGATGTACCAGGCACTCAATGAAGGCCGAGTGGCCGGCCTGGGGCCGGTTAAGGTGTCATTGGCCCCGGTGCCGCTTGTGAAAGTTATTCAGGGTTCACATCGCGGTGCGCCGCCCGCCACGCTGCCTCGGCCCGCACATGCGCTCGTCAGCAGCACTTGCCCCAACAGCCTACATACGGCTACATGGGGGACCTTCGTCTTTGTGTAATCGCATGTACGTGTGTGTGGGTATGTATGAATGTGTGTATATGTGTATGTGTGGGGTGGTGGTGTAGCGGTTAGCGCTTGCGCTACGAACCCGGCGACCCGAAATCGATTCCCACTCACGGCCACTCACACCAGTGAAGATTATATAAACCGGTCCTGGGCCTCCCCTAAGGTCGACTTCAGCCTCAAATAAGTACCTGGTGCAGTGTGTAAACATCGCCACTGAGGAGACAAAGGCGGCCGGGCGGGGTGCTGACCACCCACACTATCATGTGCCTTGCCGGCTTTCATAGGTGCTCGCGAACAGCACTTGCCCCAACAGTCGGTTTAAGGCTATACGGGGGATCTTTGTTTGTATGTACGCGTGTGTGTGTATGTATGTCCACGTGTGTGGATGTATGTTTGAGCGTGTGTAAGTACGGGTGTGTACATGTGTGTGGGTGTGTATAATCGTGTGTGCATGTGTACGCATGTGGGTGTGTGTACGTGTGTATTTACGTGAGTGTGTGTATGTATGTGTGTGTGTGCGTGTGTGTGCGTGTGTGTGCGTGTGTGCCTGGCGTTCACGTACGATGCCCCTGCACATGGGGTTGTAGCAGCCGCTGCAGAACTCGTGCTTGCACTGCACGCACGTGAAGTGCATGCAGCCGCCCTTGGCCAAGGCGTAGCGGAACTTGCACTTGGGGCACGCTGGGGACACAGAGCGGCACGGGGCCAGAGTCACGAGGGCCGCGTCGCCACGCACACGTCGGCGCCCCTCGCCCAGGCAGGCCGCGGGCCAAGCAGGGCCGAGGTGGCCAGGAGATGGTGGTGGCGGTGAAGGCGATGTATGTCTTGGTTGTGTCAGTTTGAGCTCAAGATGGCGGTGATGTTGATGGCGGTGATGGTGGTGGTGATGGTGGCGATGGTGGCGATTTTGGAGGCGATGCCGTTGATGTTGGCGGTGATGGTGGCGCACCGATGCCGTTCTCCTTGAGGAAGGCCGCGAGGCCGGCCGCCTGCATCTCGGGGTCGTTGTCCAGCTTCCACATGTGGAACGCCTCGCACGTCAGGCCCTCGTGCTGCACCTCCCACTGCGCAGCACGCACACGCCAGCGACACGCATGTCACGCGCGCGTCCGTGACGCGATCAACACGTCTCCCAAATGTTTAGCACGTGATCAGCGAGGAATGAACACGCGATCGTCGTGTGTTTAACAAGCGATGGAATCCTGAGACTCGGTGAGGCTTTGCAGACTCGAGAGCGGACATCCTTGTTATTAGTTTCGACTTTGACAACTAAATTCCAAACACCCCGACTGGTGTCATAACACGAAGACATTTCCTATTGGGGCATTTCCCAGAGAGCTGCGAGCGGGTTCAGAAAGTACGGAGACAGCGCCACCCGGTGGGGAATGCGTCAATGGCCAGCACGGCAGCACGGGCAGCATTCAACAAAAATCCTACGCCCAGCCTGAGCAGACCGTTGGGGCAAGTCCTATTAGCGAGGAGCGCCTATGAAGGCCGGTACGGCACACGAGGGGAGTGGGTGGCCAGCACCATTCTCGGCCGCCTTTGTCTCCCCAGTGCCTACACATCGCAACAGACACTTAGTTGATGCGGAGTCGACCTAGGTGAGGCCGAGGGCCGGTTCGCAAATATTCTCCACCGTTATTGGTCGTGAGCGAGAATCGGAGTTGGGTCGCCGGGTTTGTATTGCGGGACGCTCACCGCTGCGCCACCGCTCCCCAGCGCTCAACGGGCACTCACAATTACTGCGTAGCAAACAAGATTCCCGTCCGCTTTGTAACGGCAACGATGAGAATAGCCCGAGCGACGTCGTTGCGTGCGTGCCAATCGACACCCTGGAGCCGCTTGCCAACGAGACGTCCCGTGTCGAGGGATCCTCCAGGTGAAGTAAAATTAAATCAACGAAACTCTTGAAGGCAACTGCTGCCGAGGAACGGTTGCGTCATTAAGCGCTGAGCCGGGCGCACGATGAGAGACGACGCCAACGCCGGAGCGGGGACCGAGGGGAGGGAGAGAGAAGCAGAGAGACGGCAGCTGCAGCTGCAGCTGCAGCTGCAGCTGCAGCTGCAGCAGAGTTCGGAGGCCGCTGCTGGACACGAGCAGCTGGGGAGAGGAGGGAATGGAGAGCGGGGCAGGCATTTGCCCAGCGGTGAGGAGTTGCCGGTTCACCGCAGCCACGGGGGAGAAAGAGCAAACGAAGGCGCCACCCCCACCCCACAGAGGTGCCAACGCCCTTTGTCTGCGACCTCTCACCTGTTTGGCAAAAGCTGGCGAGACCGACCCACTACCCACGCGGTGACCTTCCACGGAAATCACCGACTCGCACGCCACCGGAGTGGCCGGGTGCTGGGGCGGAAGATGCCACGCTCGCCGCGCCTTACAGCAAGAAGGGCCTCGGTTCGATTCCCGACTCGGGTGGCTTTGCGTGGAATCTGTGCGTTCTCTCCCTCCCCCCGGTTTTGTGCTCTCCGGGTGCTCTGCCTCTCCGAGCTAAGAAGCCACACGCAGTGCGACCGACGTTCCGCGTGCCCCCCCCTCGTACCGGCTTCTTGCACTTGGAGCACGTGCTCTTGTTGCAGTAGGTGCAGTCCATGCGCAGTCGCGGCGCGTCGTGGATGCTTCCGTTTGGACACTGCCCACACACGCAGACGGCGGAGCGGCGTGACGTGGTGTAGTGCGGCGTGCCGCAGTGTGGCACGCCGTGGCGCGGCGTGGCACGGTGTGGCGTGGTGTGACGCGGTTTTACCGACCTGGGTGGGGGTGGGGGCAGCGCGCGAGGCTGCATGCGGCGCGTACGTAGGGTGTACGCCAGGGCAGCGTGTACATGGGGGCAGCGTGTACGTGGGGGCAGCGTGTACGTGGGGGCAGCATGTACGTACGTGCGCACACCAGCGGAAGTTGGGCATCATGTAGAGAGCACGGTCTCTCATTTTGTTCTCAAACAGCCGGAAGACTTCCGGGTCCAGATAATTCCTGAACTGTTTCATACAAAAGACGACACCACCGACAGTGTCAAGAGAAGAGGCCCCAAAGCCACCGTGCGTGACGGAGCCCGGACAGACGATAGATTCCATCACTTGGCATAGTTATGACGTGAAGGTGATATGAGCAAGCGCGTGAGTGCGGGTGTGAGTATGTGTCTGCGTGAGTGTGTGAGTGAGCGTGTGTGAGCATGTGAGTGAATGTGTGTGTGTGTGTACGTGTGCGATTGTGTGTCTGCATGAGTGCGTGAGTGCGTGCGTTAGTGAGTGCGTGAGTGAGTGTGTGAGTTAGTGTGCGAGTGAATTAGTGTGCGTGCATAGTCCGGCAACCCCCTACCTCCTCGTGGTAGCCGGACGGCAACGCTGTGGTGGCAAGGATTAGTGTCTGGACCACTGGACGGGTTCCGCAGGATTGGAAGGATGTCCTGGTGGTCCCCCTCTTTAAGAAGGGGGACCGCACAGACTGTAACAACTACATGGGCATCTTACTCCTCAGTGTGCTGGCAAGGATTATTCAACATCACCTTGCTAGGCACGCTGAGGAGAGGCTTGCAGAGCCCCAATGCGGTTTCAGGAAAGGGCGGTCCTGCACAGATGCCATATTTTCAGTCTGTCTGCTACATCAGAGGTATCGGGAATTCCAACAAGACCTACATCTCTGCTTTATTCACCTGGTCAAGGCCTATGATACCATCAGTAGGTTTGGGCTCTGGGTTGTTCTTCGTGCTTTCGGAGTCCGTGACCCTCTGCACACGATCATTAAGGACCTTCATGATGGTGAGCGGGCCCGGGTAAAACTACATGGTCGGTATTCGGAGCCATTCCCTGTACACCTTGGGGTGCGACAGGGATGTCCTCTGGCTCCCACATTATCTAACATCTATTTCGACCATGTAGTTCGTGAAGCCTTCAATAGCTGTACCGGAGGAATTTCCATCTGGTAAAGAAACAATGAGAGGCTGATCGATGCCCGGGTGCGGTCAAGGGATGGCTCCCTATTGCTCAACCATGTTATGTATGCCGATGATCTAGTAATTGCTGCTCACTCAGAGGAGGAGTTGGAGGCGCTGCTTCTGAACCTGGAGCTTGCCACTAAGAGGTGGGGCCTTACCATCAGCCCCACCAAAACTAAGCACCTGCCTGGGTATTTTGTACAACTGCCCGATCACCAACTGGTGATTGGGCAGTTTGGTGATAGGGCAGTTGTGGAGAAATTGGAGAGTTACCCATACCTGGGCAGTGTGCTCATGACCGGCTCCGGTTTAACAGCAGAGGTCTCACTCCGAATCAGTCGAGCGGCATTATCTTTTCATCGGTTGCATAACGCTGTGTGGAAGCTACCTGGTCTGTCGCTCCACACGAAGCTTCAGGTCTTCTCGGCCACGGTCATTCCCTCCCTTCTCTACGAAACGTGGACCCCCCTAATGGAACATTTTCGCCTTGTGTATATGTGCGTGTGCGTGCGAGTGAGGGTGAGTGCATGCGAGTTAGGGTGAGTGCGTGCCTGCTCGTCCAGGAGGGAGAAGAAAGTGGTGCGGCTCTCCTCGTCGGGTTGGTGTGAAGCATTGCAAACGGGGCACGTCAGGTTGGCAATGTTCTTCTCCTTGATGGTGAAGGTGAAGTTCGTCTTGAAGCACGTCACGCACACGGCGCACTCGCAGAAGATGATGTTCACCATCTGCGGGGGGACGTGGGGTGGGGACAGAACGGCGCGCGCGTTATGGCCGGGCCGCGCCGGTGTGAGCGCAGCGCCCGGTGTCGGAGCGGCCTCCTCGGCCGGGGCCCACCGGCTCGGATAATCGGCGTCGCCAACGCCACGGAGGGCCGAGCCGCGCGGACCCCTCGCTACGCGGAGGCGCTCGCGGGGCGCCACTTACGCCGTGCATGGGGAAGAAGTTACAGCAGATGGGGCACTCTCTCTTCAGGTACTGCCTCGCCCGCTCGAGGTCGTTGAAGTCGCGTACGGCCCGCACGACGTCCTCCAGCTGGTACTGCTCGTTTTCCTCCGCCAGCAGCTTCAGCGCCAGCGTGGCACGGCCCCAGCTCTGCAGCTCGTAGCGCGCCAGCAGGAAACGCAGCTTTCTCTGGGAGCGCGAGCGCACGACACACGGGGGGGGGGGGGGGAGGGGCGGGGGGGTTTGGCGGTTAGAATCGAAGTCGAATCGCGGGGGGGGGGAGGGGAGGGGTCACGTGACCGCAGCCGGCCACGCGGGTGCCGGCGCCGCCGACCTGGTCATCGCCGTCGCGGAGAACGGCGTCCTCGGCTGGCGCGTGCCAGCACCGGTCCACCGACGGCCGCAGGAGTTCCCCCTGGAGCGCGACGAGGGCCTTGTCCACGTCCCCGCCATTCAGCTTCAGCTTCTCAGCCACGGTCGCCACCTCGTAGCGGCCCAGCCGGAGGATCTCGGCGATCTGCGCACAGCGGAGGGTCGTTTGTTCAAACTGTTCCGCGTTGGTTTTTCACGAACCGTGCTCCCTTTTCCAGGGAGACGTGAAGGATCAGTGCTACGTTCGGTTGAGAGAATTGTGCTTTGACTATCCGGTAAGCCGGCACACGAATAACCCGAGAGTTAAAACGCTTGTGCGCGTGTGGCTATGCCGGGTGGTGGAGGGTTACACGACAATAAATTGCCAAGATCATCCTAGCGGTGCAACGGTCAGAACAGTCGCCCAGGCATAGCAGCTGAAACGACGGGGGAAGTTTCTTATGAATCTCCATGCGAGGGCAGCCACAAGATGACCGCAGCCTGAGTGCAATCAATCTGGCAGTCACCGGGAAGTGCCGTGCGCCGATAGGACACCCGCTCCCCTCACCCCCCTCGCCCACCCCGACTCCCGCGACGCGGCCACCACGCCGACCTTCACTCTGCGCGCTCGCAAGCACTCCTCGGCCGCCGCCTCGATGTTCCCGTCGGCGGCGATCCACGCATCCGCGGCCTCCTGCCGGGAGAGGCTGCCCCCGTGACCGGCGTGCGGCAGGTTCTCGGCCATGGCCACGATGGTTTCCAGACACTCGTCCAACCCGCCGCCGCTCAGCCACTCGAGCGCTTTGGGGCGGCTCGACGCCTGGAGGCTGCAGTACACCTCGTTCGCAGAGAAGCCCTGGCACTCTCCGCTCTGGGGAGCGGCGACACACGCAGCAGCAGCAGCAAGTTCAAGTTCAAGTTCATTTATTAGGTATAGCCCTGTGAGCCATTCAGCTCTTGAATCGGGTGCAGGAGCAGCAGCAGAAGCAGCAGCAGGAGCAGCAGCAGCAGGAGCAGCAGCAGCAGCAGCAGGAGCAGCAGCAGCAGGAGCAGCAGCAGCAGGGGCTCACAATCAGCACACGCAGGGGCACGTTGAGAATCTTTATTTATCCTGGAGGAGAAATCCGATGAGCTACGAAGCTCTTTTTCACAGATGTCGTTCCCAGGTAAAACGAATCGTGGGGCACGCCACGGCCGGAGAGAAGGGATCTGGAGCCAGTCGACGACAACTGCGAGAGGAATCAAGAAACTCTCGCCAACCGAGATCGAATGGAAGCGGTGGCGCGCGCACGTCACGCCGGGGCCCCAGCGCGCGATTCCCCCCTCGCGACCCGCGCCGTCTCGGCCACGGGCGCTCGCGCTCCTCACCCTGATTAGCCGGATCAACTCGATTCCCTTCGACTTCTCCTCCTCCTGGAGGATCTTGCGCCGCTGCTCCTGCTGCCATCAGCATCGGGGCGTCGCCGTGCTGCGGCCCGCGCGGCTCCGGCGGCCGCTGACGCTCGACGGCGACGTCGGCGCCCGGTTGGCGATCGACCGCGGCCCGGGGCGCGCGGGCCCCCTTGGAACGGTCGCAGGCCACGCACACCTTGGCCTTGGCCTCGTTGAACATCGTGCAGGCTTCGCAGTGCCACATCCCCGGCGGCGCGGCGGGCGGCGTCGGCGGCCTCGCCGGCGGCACGTCCTCCGGCACCGTCGGCTTGAGCTTGTTGGCTTGCCGGGGCCTGTTGCAGGCGCCGCACAGCACCGCGGACGCCCGGTTCACCAGCGTGCACGTGGAGCACTCCCACGTCGCCGGCGGTCGAGGCGGAGCGGCGGCGCCGTCGCCCGCCTCGAACGTCATCTCGGCGTCCGAGGAACGGCTCCTCATGTCCAGCGGCGGGTGCGGCGTCTGGCAGTGCCTGCAGATGTAGACGGAGGAGGGGTTGCGGCCCGAGCAGCGCGGGCACCCCCACTCGCTGCCGGCCGGCACGGAGAGAGGGCGGAGGACGATCGGCTTGAAGAAAGGCGGCCGCTCCTCCGTCTCTGGGCTTGGGCGCAGAGGGAAGACAGCGGTGAGCCGGGCCCCCGAGGCAGCGTCGCCGTTGCACGCGACGCGCGGCGCGCGGGAGCGCGCCAGGGCGTCCGCACGACAACTCGGTCCGAGCGGACGCCCTCGGCACCCGAGAGCTGCGCGAGGTCTGGCGAGCGACGAACTACGCGAGCCGCGACACCGCGGCAGCGCCGGCGAGCGACCGGTTGCCTCCGTGCGGTGCTGCGCTATTTTAAAACCACCGATTGACATCAGCGGTGGGTAAACGACGAGGCGGAGCGGCCGATGACCAAATCGCCCGGAACGCGGCCGAGCCTCGGCAGGGACAACCGCCGTTCATAACGGGCGCCGTGGGCCGTGGCGTCACGCGGTGGGCGTGGCGACCCACGTCCTGCGGTGGCGGTGACCGCTTGCGCAGAGCTTAGGGGCGCTCACCTCGTCACCTGCTTGGTGATCCTTCCTGTTTTGAGGTTCACCCGCTCGTGCTCGAAGCGGCGCGGATGCCTGTGGAAGCTTCCGTCGCAGTCGGTGCACAGACGCTTGTCGCAGGACACGCACGACATCACGGCGTCTCCTCCGCAGATGTCGCACACTGACATCACCGAGACCGGGGGCGGCAAAGGGAAAACAAAGACGGCTCCACACTCGACCACACGCACGACAAGTCCGACGAAGGCAAGCGTTACTCGGCCGCCGTGCCCTCAAAACACCCTGCTAGTTAATGGGTGAGGTGCCCCGTTAGATCCACTGTCGTTAACATAACTTAGCTAGGACTTCGGCTCGCGTGCTGGAGTCACGTGGGATTGTTGCATCCCTGGATGGTAACAAAAAAACGGCTTGGGGAGGCCTTCATCTAGCAGTGGATAGCAGCGGGGGCACTAAGCTGGCGAGATGTTATCTCTCTCGCCTGGTATGCAGCAGTGCATGGGTTCAAATCCCGATCCCGACCCCGACGCCTATATATGTTCTCCGCGTGGATCGCGATAAACCACTTCGTTGAGCTAACATTTGTGGCCAGGTCGCTTACAAAACATAAGCTATATAGCTCAGTGGGCTTGCCAAATAAAACAAAAACATTCTTATTAATGATCGATCCTGGCCAGTGAAGCTCCTTCTTCATGAGCTCCAGGATCGATCCTGGCCGGTGTGGACGAGCGTGCGGCATACTGGAGACGGGCGAGGCCAGCGGGACGCGCTCGTGGGCCTCCCTGGACGGGTGCGTGTGCATCTTGGTGTCGCAGTCGGCGCACAGCGACTTGTCGCAGGTGGGGCAGCGCACGTCCGGAGGCTCCGCGCAAATGGCGCATTCGTCTGAAACGGCACGGCAGCGCGAGCGCCACGCAGGTCACGTCGCCGCCGTCGTCGGCGACACGTGGCGCTGCAAAGGACAAAACAAGGAAGAACAATCGCGCATGTGCGTGCAGTCTGTGGCCCTGTCGGACGCGCGTTTGCGAGCGGAGGCGGTGTTTAATTAGCGATATCAACGGTAGCGCCCGAGGCAGGTGCGCAGGAAGCAATACGTCCGCCATGACACAGCCGGGCTCAAATAGCGGCTCGGCCAACGCTTTGATCAATGTGGTCTCTTGGGTCGAGTCCCTAACAGCCACGCAACTTTAAGCTAAAGTTCCGTTCAAATTAGATCTTCTTTATGGAAGTTACTGTGCCGCCCCCCCCCACCCCCCATTACAGATGGACAAAGATAGATAGAGCTGAAGAATGAACAGTTTCATCCTCAGCGAATGAAACTTGAGAAGATATTTTTGCTCGAGTTGAAAAAGCGGTCGTGTGCGGTTTCTAAAACAGCAGGGTAGGTGATGCAACAATTGTCGCTGGATCGTAACGATTCGTGTTGACGGCACGCGAGCGGTTAGCACGCACCACCCTGCACACGCCGTCGATTCTGCGCGCACGAGGACAACGTTCAATATTTGTAACCCAACGATGACCTCTAATCGTCACAATTCCTTAAATTGTGCAGGGGCGGATTTGTGAAATCCGTGAGACGGAACTTTGGCAGCGCTGCCAAGAGGGATCACTTTGTCTGTCTCCTGACACTCAGAGGCTTAACGCTCTCGCACCCCCGAGCGACCCGGACGAAGCGCACTTCACAACACGACCGGTGAGAGCCAAGGAGAGACCGGGCAAAGCTCTCAGGCGCCGTGCGCAGCAAAGGCATGGCAGGAGCGTGGGAGGGACGGATCACGCAAAGCGAGTTAACCACAGCTACGCCGAGACCGCAAAAAAAATGGCCCTTTGCGTCTCCATCATCTCAAACCAGGTTTCAATGAATATAATTTATATTGTAAGACAGGTTATTCGGCGATACTGCGCTGGTAGTGATTTACGTGGTCGCGAGTCGAGGTACGCTCATGTGTAGGCCATTGTGTACCGGCATCACGGCTCAAGTTAGAACAGTCACTTGCCGAGGACTTCGGTGGGTATCACTAATCAATTGTTGGCCCCCTCCTGCTGCAAAAAATCAGCAGGACCCTCTGAGAAAACAGCCTCAGGCTTTCCTGGGATACAAACACGGGAACCATCACGTCTACTTTGGTCCAATTTTTTTTTGGAAGCGTAGAGTATTTGGCTGTTATAAATTTCCATGTGATAAGTGACTTTGCTGAGCTTATCATTGGTGGCCAGGTCACTTGTGAAGAAGAGCTTAAAAGCTCCGTGGTCCTTACTTGACATAATAAAAAATTGTTTACTGTTTCCTCTATAGATGAGAGAACAATGCGTAAAACGTCAAAGGTCCTGGGCCCTGCCCGTCCCATCAGCGTGACTGAACCGGTGAAGCGTGTTTCCGCTGTTAGTATGCACACACCAAGGCAACACTGTACTTGCAGCAGCAGCAGCGCCCTAGGCCACAACCGGGCCATCTTACTACAGCTTTGGCTCCGGCACTGCCACATTTGGTATTCACAAATCGGCAGGAATTTATGTACATATGCTATTTGCCCTTCTCTCGTTTTTCGCACTCCTATTGTTTTGTTGCAGTGATTGTTGTTCTAACTTGTTGATGCACCCCTCCTGGACATCTAAGCAAAAGAACTTCATAGTACTTCGGATTCCTCCAGGCTAAATAAAAGATTCTGATGATCGCCAAAACGACTTCGGTGTCACGAGTCTCTCGCCCCTTTGAGCCCTGGCGAGATGCGAGAGTCCCGGCGAGCATTAGGGGAAATGCAGCCCGGCCGTGTGGGTGGTGGTGGTGGGTCGTGTGAACCTGTGGGGGCGGCGGGGACTGCGTGGTTCTCGACTTCTGCCCTCTGGTTCCTGGCCAGATCCTTTGCCCTCTCCGCTGGCTTCGGTGGAATTGCAGGTCGCGTCACCCCTTCACTCGTTCGTTCGTGAAACATCACACGCACGTTCTACAGGGCCCACACTACGAAACGTATCGAGGGGTTAGGACATTGTAACATTCTGCGAAAGAACTAATCACCAAAACCTGCAACTTAGTAACGAACATCCTTCGATAGAGCGCGTGGATATTTACGGCTTGCGCAATCCGGCTTCTTCAATCCGGACAGATCTCTTGTTAAGGTCGGAGCTACGGAGCGGATAACAGGAGCCCCACTACTGCGCAGGTTTTGTGCGGTTGTGCCGCCGTGCCGCTCTCGCGCGCGTCTCGGGTTGGACAGCCGCTGCGCTCATCGTCACGACGTCCGACATTTCACTCGACGGGCTGGGACCATCTTCAGCCTGTCTTGGGTCCTGCCCGTCCCATCAGCGTGACTGACCCAGTGAAGCGTGTTTCCGCTGTTAGTATGCACACACCAAGGCAACACTGTACTTGCAGCAGCAGCAGCGCCCTAGGCCACAACCGGGCCAGCTTACTACAGCTTTGGCTCCAGCACTGCCACATTTGGTATTCACAAATCGGCAGGAATTTATGTACATATGCTATTTGAACTTCTATTGTTTTTCACACTCCTATTGTTTTGTTGCAGTGATTGTTGTTCTAACTTGTTGATGCAGCCCTCCTGGGCATCTGAGCAAAAGAACTTCATAGTACTTCGGATTTCTCCAGGCTAAATAAAAGATTCTGATTATCGCCAAAACGACTTCAGTGTCAGGAGTCTCTCGCCCCTTTGAGCCCTGGCGAGATGCGAGAGTCCCGGCGAGCGTTAGGGGAAATGCAGCCCGGCCGCGTGAGTGGTGGTGGTGGTGGTGGGTCATGTGAACCTGTGGGGGCGGCGGGGACAGCGTGGTTCTCGACTTCTGCCCTCTGGTTCCTGGCCAGATCCTTTGCCCTCTCCGCTGGCTTCGGTGGAATTACAGGTCGCGTCACCCCTTCACTCGTTCGTTCGTGAAACATCACACGCACGTTCTACAGGGCCCACACTACGAAACGTATCAAGGGGTTAGGACATTGTAACATTCTGCAAAATAACTAATCAACAAAACCTGCAACTTAGTAACGAACATCCTTCGATAGAGCGCGTGGATATTTACGGCTTGCGCAATCTGGCTTCTTCAATCCGGACAGATCTCCTGTTAAGGTCGGAGCTACGGAGCGTATAACAGGAGCCCCACTACTGCGCAGGTTTTGTGCGGTTGTGCCGCCGTGCCACCGTGCCGCTCTCGCGCGCGTCTCGGGTTGGACAGCCGCTGCGCTCATCGTCACGACGTCCGACATTTCGCTCGACGGGCTGGGACCATCTTCAGCCTTTTCCGGAGTTGTTCCGGAAGGAACTGTTTATTCGTCTGGAACGGAAGCTCCCTGCGCGTGGAGCAAAAAGTCGGACATCTCCCCAAGCAACGCCATCACGACCCAAACGCACACGACGGAGAGCTACAGCAAGCACGGCTCGCTCTTGTACGGCTCCAACAACGGCCGTTGTCAGACAAGCGCAGCCAGGTGGGATGGCAGTAGCCGCTCGCCATTCATGCCGCTCATGCAAGTTCAAAGTGCAACGATGGTTTTGAAAACGAAGCAACTCCGCAAACGTGACAGCGGCGCCGACAGCAGCGGCGGTGCTCGACCGCGATGGCCACAAGCGCCGGCAAGCGCGCGGCACGCACCTGCGGGAGTCTTGGTGTCGGGAGGGTGGCCGGGCTGCAGTCTTGTGGGAGGGGTCATCTTAGCCACCTGCGCCGACAGCAGGAGAGGCCGTGAGCTGCCGGCAAAGGTTCCTTCATCGATACGACGACGACAACGCGAACCGGGGAACTTACCGCCCGCGGCTTCGTCCACGCGGCCCCCGGCCACGCGAGGCCAACCGCATCGAAGAGGCCCACAAGCGATGTTTTAGCCGTCACTGAAGGCGACTTATCCGGGTACTGGGATGGGAATATTTCCAACCCGAGTGTCTCAAGTTAGCGCCATGCTCAGTAGGCCCCCGCAGTGAGCCGCGTGTGAATGTGCGGTTCCCAAGTAAGCGTTTTACATTCCTATTCGACACTGGGTAGTGAATCGGTTTCCTAGCCCCTTTTTTAAAACCGGTTTGTATCTACGGTCGGCACGGTGCCACAGCGTAACATCTGCGCAGCACGACCGGCACGCGGGTTGTGCCTGTGTTTGGTGGCTGCGGCAGTGGACTGGCCTGTTTCTGCATTTCCACTTTGGACTTCTCAATTTCTTCTTGCGAAATGAATGAGAAGAGCTCCGGCTTGGGGTGAGTTCCCTGCGAAGGAGAAAGTCAAATGAAAGGCACGCGTGCGACGGGCGACGGGTTGAGGAAGCGGCATAAATCTCGACGCGACCCACCAACCCGTGCCTCCGAAGCGGCACGTGACGGACGCTCCCGCGCTCGCGACCCGACGCGGGCGAATGGGGAGCGAAGGCGCCCCGGCACGTGCGCTCTCCGCACCTTCAAGATCATGTCGACCTCGTACCGCGCCAGGTAGATGTCCAAAGTGACGGCGGCGACGCGATCCACGTCGGGCTCGCCGAGCGTGTCCGGGAAGGCCAACCCGTCGGCCTGCCGCTCGGTGTAGCCGAACATCGTGAGGACGTCTCGCGAGCCCTGCGCACCACACAGACCGCCCCTCGTGTCGCTCGTCTCAGCGATGGCGGCGGGCGCGGCGGATGCGTCGGGACTCGCGACGGCGCCACGGTGCGTCGGGTGGAAAGGGAGGCCGACGTTGCCACGGGTCCCTTGGCCCTGCCCAGGAGAGCGTCACGGACTGACCGGACTCTGTCTGACGCTTTTCAGCCACGAGGCCGAAAGCGTGAAGGCATTAGTCTGCGCCGAATGGGGGGGCTAATAACACTCGTCAAGATGAACTAATGTGAATGTTTAGTTTAATGTTGGCTTGTCATTAGGGATTCAACCTGATAGTAATCTGGCCACACTGGTTAAAGAGTCAATGAACAAATTGTGGTGACAAAAACCGGCACCAAAAGGATTTTTCTTGGCGGCCAGGGTGATATCGTCATTCCGCGTCATCTTACGAAATCCATGCCAATGCATGATGCTGGTTCTCGCACTTGTTTCTGTGCTGTGGGTCTGCCTTGAACATTATACTTGGGCTCTCACGTGGTTAAGACGAAAGTGTAGTTTGTCACAAGGGGAACACTATCCACTGCCAGGGTCCGGCCCCACGGCATCGGGAGGCTCGGCGGGACGGGGATACCTTGATGCAGTCGACCGTGTTTTTGAACACCGGGTTGTCAAACTTGACGGTCTGCCAGTAGTCGGGCTTGTCCGGCTTCAGGAGGTTCCGGCCATACTTCTCCAGAACAGAGAGGGCAGTGAGTACGGCGTTCAGGCCCCTGCCGCCCTGGCAGACAACACACACAAATCCCCTGTGTAGCCTTAATCGTGTTCTGGGGCAAGTGTCATTAGCGAGCGCCTATGAAGGCTGGCGCAATACACAAGGGGGTGGGAGGCCAGATCCATGCACGGCCGCCTTTGTCTCCCTTGTGGTGATATTTTACATGCCGCACCAGGTACTCATTTGAGGCCGAGTCGACCTAGGGGAGGCCTAGGACCAATCAGTTACCTGTCACTGGTGTTGGCCGTGAGCGGGAATCTAACTCGGGTCACCGGATTTGTATCGTAGCGCGCTAACCGCTTCGCTACCGCTCCCCACAAACAAGAACACGCTCTCCTACCACCACCACCACTTTCAACACCATTCTATAACATCTCACACCACACCACCACACGTCACCACAACCACCGTCACCTCCAGACAGACACCACACAGCCCTCCACCACCACTAAACTTGCACACACCACACACCCCTCCACCACCACTAAACACTTCACACACTTCAACACCTGACACAGTTTCACTGCAGCTGTCCGCCACCACGTTCACACCCGACTACCGGCCCTCGCGTGCCCCCCACACTGACCCACGTGTCGAGCAAGTTGCCTGCCAGTTCCCCGTCGCATCCTCGTCGGTATTCGTGTTCCGTGTCAGTGCGTGGGCGCGTGAAGAATGCGTGCAATGCTGATAAGCAGGAGCGCTATTAGCCAGACCAGCTACGCAAGTCCATCGAGACAAACGTAAACTGGATTCATTCCGTTCACAATTGTTGTTTACTCAGGACAGCCTCGTCTGAGTCTCTCGGAGTTTTGTTCAAGCTTTCCCCGTAGGGGCCGCTGCCAAAGCTGCCAAAGCTGCCGAAGCTGCCGCTGGGTGATCCTACTGAGCACGCTCATTTGCGAGCAATTTCTCGGCGCCGACACGCTTCCTTGAAAGGCCACGCGGAAAGCACGAAAACGCCGCACGGGGAAGGCACCCGACTCTGGGATCGAACCCCGGTCCTCCTCGATGCGAAGCCACGACTTGTTTACCCCTGCGGCCCAAAGCAAAGCGAATCAGAGAACGTTGCTGGCGTTTTTACAACCGCGTGGCCAGGGCGTGGGGGCTGCCGCGTCAGGCGATTCCTCGCGACCTGGAGCGTCGTAAAGCCCCGGGGACAGCAAATCGGCCTGTGTGTGTGTGGTGGTCTGTGTGTATGTGAGGTGGTGTGCGTGGTGGTGTGTGTGTGTGTGGTGTGTGTGGTGGTGTGTGTGTGGTGGTGGTGGTGTGTGTGTGTGGTGGTGTGTGTGTGTGGTGGTGTGTGTGTGGTGGTGTATGTTGGTGTGTGTGTGGTGGTGTGTGTGTGTGGTGTGTGTATGTGTGGTGGTGTGTGTGGTGGTGTGTGTGGTGGTGTGTGTGGTGGTGTGTGTGTGGTGTGTGTGTGTGGTGGTGTGGTGGTGTGTGTGTGTGTGGAACCATTTAGGCTGGCCTGCCTACGATCCATCCTTGGTCTAACCAGGCTGGATTGTGTGAGGAGCTCACAAATCCTTGAAAGATCTGGGCAAAGTCCCATCAGTGAGCTCCTCCGGCAGGCAAGGCTGCGTTGGCTGGGTCATGTAGCCCGCATGCCCAGCCACCGCATGCCTAAACAGCTTTTGTTCGGCCGGATCGAGGGGGCTAGACGGGCGCGGCACGGGCTGGAGAAGAGATGGAGTGATGTGGTACAGGAGGACGTGGAGCTGAGTGGACTTGCCGATGACCGGTACCAGCGGTGTCAAGATCGGCCTCAGTGGAGGAGGCTCGTGAAGGACGCTACTGGGCAGTTGGAGGCAGTCACCCTCCAACAACAACGGAGGGCGGAGGAGCGACGCTCACAACAACGAGCGGAGCGCCGGGTGGCTAAAGCACAGCAAGTTGGTACAGTAGGGGGCACAGGTGGTGCATCAGCCAGTCATCTCGCGGTCATCTCGGTCAATCGACCCGTGGCACCTGGGTCTGCCCCGTGACCTCCTGCCAGCGGGCGTTCGACACTTCACGTGGCCTCAAGGTGCACTTGGCCTGGCACAAGCGTCGTGGTGACGTCACCGCCACTTAGTGGCGAATGGCGGTTGTTGTTGTTGTTGTGTGTGTGTGGTGTGTATGTGTGGTGGTGTGTGTGGTGGTGTGTGTGTGGTGGTGTGTGTGGTGTGTGGTGGTGTGTGTGTGGTGGTGTGTGTGTGGTGTGTGTGTTGGGTGTGGTGGTGTGTGTGTGTGGTGTGTGTATGTGTGGTGGGGTGTGTGTGTGGTGTGTGTATGTGTGGTGGTGTGTGGTGGTGTGTGTGTGTGGATGTGTGTTGGGTGTGGTGGTGTGTGTGTGTGGTGTGTGTGTGTGTGGTGGGGTGTGTGTGTGGTGTGTGTATGTGTGTTGGGTGTGGTGGTGTGTGTGTGTGGTGTGTGTGTGTGTGGTGGGGTGTGTGTGTGGTGTGTGTATGTGTGGTGGTGTGTGGTGGTGTGTGTGTATGTATGGTGGTGTGTGTGTGTTTGGTGGTGTGGTGTGTGTGGTGGTGTGTGTGGTGGTGTGTGTGTGTGTGTGGTGGTGTGTATGTGTGGTGGTGTGTGTGGTGGTGTGTGTGGTGGTTCGTGTGGGGGATGGTGGTGTGTGTGGTGGTGGTGTGTGTGGTGGTGCGTGTGGTCCGTGTGGTGGTGTGTGTGGTGATGTGTGGTAATGTGTGGTGGTGGTGTGTGGTGGTGGTGTGTGGTGGTGGTGTGTGGTGGTGGTGTGTGGTGGTGATGTGTGGTGGTGATGTGTGGTGGTGGTGTGTGAACGTGAATGAGCAGCAGCAGCAAGTCACGTGTGCGTGGTGTCTGGACGATGTTTCCCGCGACCAAGTTCCCTGCCAAGTGCTGAAGGAGCCGCCCTGAGCTCGCGCCATGCCCAGAGGGTGCAAGTTTGGAGTCGTGGAGCCGAGTCCACGACGCGGCCTTGCAACAGCAGCAACACCCTGGGGGTGCCCGAAACTCCAGAAGTTGGCCCCGAGAAGGGAGATGAGAAGGGAGATGAGAAGGGAGAGGCGGTGGTGGAGGAGGAGGAGGAGCAGGCGGCGAGGAGGGATGGGAGCTGCGCGGAGTGGGGAGTCGGAGGGAAAGGCGCCGACGGCGACGAGGAAGTGTATGGGGGGAGCGTTCGAGGAGGAACCCCAAAGGAGTGAGGAGGAGGAGGAGGGTGGAGAGGTGGGTAAGAGGCGGTAGCTTTTGGAGGAATGAGCGGACTGCGAAGGAGGCGACAGGCGAGGACGCGGGGAGCGGGGATTGGGAGGGTGAGGAGGGTGAGGAGGGGTCCGAGTTCGCCGCGTCCGCGCGCCTCACCGGCCCCACGTTGGGCTGGAGGAGGCGCTCCACGTCCACGTGCTGGTACCGCTCCGACAGCGGCCCGCCCAGCGCCGCGAGCTGCGCCGCGAGGCGTTGAGGCGCCCCGAGCGGCTTGTCCCTCAGGAGGCGCTCCGCCTCGTCTCGAAGCCCGCGGGGGGACACGCGGGCGCGGGCGATGGGCGACTGCATGAAGGGCTCACCCAGGGCCGGCCGGGCCGGGTCATTCCCCACCTCCATCTCCGGCAAGCCGACGGTCGCCCCGATCGCCGCCTGAGTCGGCACCAGGAAGCTTGGCCCCGACCTCGAGACCCCGACCTCGAGACCCCGACGGGCGGAGCGCGAAGGGGCTCTCTGGATGTTTCCGCAAACACGCAGGGGTCGCTGTCCGCAGGGCTGGATACCCCCCCCCCCCGCCCCCCGCTGCTGCTAGTGCAGCAGTAGCTCTTGCAGAAGCTGCTGCTGCTACTGCAGCAGCAGTAGTAGCTGCAGCAGCACAGGTGTCAGCGGTAGTTGGCAGTCGTCGTTGTTGTTGCAGGAGGAGTTGTACCCCAGTCGGAGCTGAACCCACCACGGGGAAACCCCCCGCGTCACTTCCGGGTCGAGCGCCGCGTCAATTCCTGGCAGGCCCCGCCCCCTCCCTCCACAAGCCCCGCCCCTCCCTCCACACGCCCCGCCCCCTCCCCCCGCCCCCTCCCCCCGCCCCAACAACCACAAAGTGGCGCTGACGTCGCTTGTGCCAGGCCACGTGCACTTTGAGCCTGGGTGACGTGTCGACGGCTCGCTGGCAGGAGGTCACGGAACAGACCCAGGTGCCACGGGTTGACCGACTGAGATGACTGGCAAATGCACCGCCTATGCTCCCCACTGTGCCAACTCGCTGCGTTTTAGCAGCCCAGCGCTTCGCTCGCTGTTGTGAGCGTCGCTCCTCCGCCCTTCGATGTTGCTGGAGGGCGACTGCCTCCAACTGCCCAGAAGCCTCCTTCACGAGCCTCTTCCACAGACGCCGATCTTAGCACCGCTGATACCAGATATTGGCAAGTCCACTCAGCTCCATATCCTCTCGCGCCACATAATTCCATCTCTTCTGTAGGTCGTGCCGCGCCCGTTTAGCCCCCTCCATCCGGCCAAACAGAAGATGATTGGGCATGTGGACTACATGAGCGAGCCTCGCCTTCTGGAGCGCACCGATAGGTCTGTGTCCAGATCGTTCAAGGATTTGCGAGCTCCTCATACAATATCGCAGGTTATATCCAGGACGGATCGTTGGTAGGCCAGCCTGGACGGTTCAAACACGCGCCCTGCCCCCCCCCCCGCCGTCCTTGTCTCTCAATGTAATTCCAAGCATGCACACGACACCAGGTCGAATCAATTCCGTGACTGCACCAACATCACCAGCACACACTGCCAGTCCGTGCCTTTATTCACATTCCGTATTTACATTCACTGACCACAAACGCAACCCCACTCCCATACCCACTCTGCAAACCCATTTGGCGTGGCCACGTGAATGCCCTGGCTGCGAGGTGTGGACGAGACCTCGGCACCAGTCCCCTTGGGCCGTCGAAGCCGCGGGTGCCCTGGGGTGGAGCGCGTGGGGCACGTGCCCTGTGTTGGAATGAAGGCAATGGCGGGTCCCGGCTCAACTTCCCTCTGTGGAGCATGAAGCTTGGGCCACAGGCCAATGGAGCAGTGGCACCGCCTGCACACCCAATAGCCACATCACTGCGAGGGCAGTAAACTAGTTTGCCAACTTCCAGTTATGAACAGACTGCAGCCTCAATTGTTTTGGCCCAAGTAGTGAGCCCGGCGTCAAGAAAATGTGATTCCCACCTCCTGGAAATGTGTGCCCTGAGGAACAAATTTTTGGGAATTATGGTTCATCTTCCTGAATATTGTATGAGCTCAGAATCATCTTGCAAGTGGTACAAATACGTAGAGGTGGTGGTGGGGACATTTTTGTTGGGGGGCAAATATGTTCCACTGGTTGAACAAATATGTAGGCCACTGATATTCATCTGTGCGGGTCGGCCGAGAAAAGCGGCTTCACTAAGCTCAGTCACCACAGTGACGAACACAACTGATGTTTTGTTTATCTCTCAGCGAGGCCAGCAAACGCCAGGTGCCACTGCTGTAGCGCCAGCTCCAATGTTCACTGATAGGCTGCTATGAGATAGTGAAACACGGTTTAAACGTACCAAGATAGAATGTTCACGCCAACTTACGTCCCGCGGCAGTGCTTTGCGACATTAAAACGCACTGCACAATTTTACACAGCGATGAAAACTCAACATTGTGAACGACAGTGGCGTTCTTTTTAGTGTGCGATTAGTTCCGCATTACAATTAAATTTGAGCACGTTTTGAGGCTGGTCTTCGTAAAAAGACGGTGCAAAAAAAATCAAGTGAAGCTATTCCTTGTCGCTGGAACGGCAAACCAAGGACGATAGGCCGACTGCGATCTACTCGCCGCAGAGTCCCAGCGGGAGACATCTGACACGGTCATTATTGTCCACAGAGGAAATCAAAGGCCTGGTTTTGTTGCTTCTCGGCCACGTGTGGGGATCCTGCTGCCCTCGTGTACTGGTGCGCACACTGGACTTGCAGCCCAGGCCATCGGCGCGATTCACGTGGCGGTAGTTGAAACGGTGCAAGTTTGTCCCCCCCCCCCCGGCCTGCCTCTGTCCACGCAGCAGTGTACACATGGGTAGACCACGCCTCGTCCATCGACAGGTCGCGTGTGGCAGGGTCAAGTGTCGGTATGGGGACTCCCATCTCTTTCGAGATGGCTGGCCGGTGTGAAAGAGGCCAAACTATCCTCTAAATGATCCCGCTCGTGAAGACCCTTCTGCCAGCAGTGGTGCGAGCAAAAAATTGCATGGCGCTCTTTCATGTTTTCAGATCATTTCACATGGCCGTGCGCAGTACCATATATGGTGTGATGCATGTGCAGTACCGGCTGGCTTGTACCGGCTCTCATGCGATGGGAAACTAACAACGCTGGAGAGCCACCCTGTCACGTGAGCGCGTATAAAGTGAAGTGCACGGCACATTCAAGGATAAACACAGTTTAAAAGAAACGTTACACGCCAGACAGAGCAGGGCGACGACGCGTTCCGCTCCCGTCCATCGTGCGCTGAGCTTGGGCCGTCACCCCCTCTGCGTGGACAAGGAACGGCTGCGGCGCCCATCGGTTCGCTGAAGAAAAACCGCCGCCGTTAAATATCGTAACCGATATTTTTGACTTAAGAATTTAGAAGGGGGTCCTGAGCCTTTGGTTGGGGGGGGGGGGGCGTCTCCGGACACGAGTGTCGTGGCAGAGCATCTCGCCACGGACCATGATGCGTTGCAGCGCGCGGCGTTTGCCGACGTTCGCGTAAATGCGGGGGCGGGGGTCTCCGCCGCATGTGCAGGTGGCGGGGTGAACACCCCCTCAACGCGCTGCGATCAAACATGGTTCACGTAAAAAAAAAACCAGCTTAAAAAAATCTTTAATTCACTCAACTACAGCACTGCACTCGGCACCGTTCAGCGCTTCTCACCCAAGGTTTCCATTAAAATATCGACTCATTATTTACTTCAAATAAGATTGATCGCCTCCGCTACCATCGCAGAAGATTATCCTCGAATCGGGGATTCTCTCCACAGCCTCATGCGCGTCCTCCAGCAACACAACTTTGCTGATCTCAAGGAGCATAAACCATCACGCGAACTCCGGTCATCCGAACAGCAGCGGCTTTGGCTAACCATCGTACAAAGACCCGTCACTGCATCGTGCACATCCAGATGTGCTTCTGCGGCCATCTGGAAGGCTTTTCCTTCTAATGTTAGGAAGCCACTGGAGCTATGCACTTTTAAATCTAAATTGAAAACGAATTTCTTCAGAACTGCTTTTTGTGTTTAGTCTGTTATCCTTCCCCCGCACCTCCGATTAGCACGGTTGGTTATGTACGGTGCGAAAGAAGTTTAACGTACACACACATACACAAGTGTTGCATTTCACTATTTTGCGTGTCACCCTTCCCTCCGGCTTAATTTCTCATGCATTATTTTCCAGAGATCTGACTCGGACAGCTCCAACTGAAATTAGGCCTTGATCACTACCTTTGTAAATTGAACAGAACGTGGCCCAGCTTGGCATCATGGAGACTGAGAAGTACTGCCCCAATGATATTCCTGCCAAGTGCCGCCCCTTTGATTAAAATGGAAAGCGCTATGACATTCTATTACGTATTTCTAGCTTTGATGTAAAACTCTATAAGAATAGTAAGCAATGTAGTGGTTTTCCATTTCGTTAAAAGAGCTTTTTTTGGAGAAAAAAAAATCACTCTTTGGAATATTTGCATAATATTACACACTCGTAATGTTTGCCAAGTTATAACCCGCTCACAGGCTTGCACGGGGGCTGTCAATGATACCCAGACACGCGGCATCAAAGGCTGCACAGCAACAGCGACAACCCGCCACTGTCAGCGAGACCCCCGGTTCCTTTACACTTGTATTTTGATTTTGACGGCATCACCTAGATTCCCGAAGTTTCTTCAAGACCGTTCACTTCTCGAGGAAGCTCTCGGCACGTCTAGAGAAACTTCGGGACGTCGTGCCGAACAGCATGCGGCACAAGCCGAAAACACAACGGAGAGATGAAAATAACTAAAATGTACACAGGCAGCCAGAGGGAAGCGCCTACCCGCCATCACCGTTTGTGATTTCTGTCGGCAGCCCAAACGCGGTCATGACACCGATGGATATGTTCCTATTGGTGTGCAGTCTTAGCAACGTGACGATCTGAACTGGAATTACACGCGTTACCCACAGCACACCTCACCTCACCCTCGGCATGAAGCAATCTCAAGTGCCCCAGAGTGTCACGCGAGTCGTGAATGGCATCCGGAATCCTTCCGCTGTGCCCTGTGACACTGCAGGGCGGGCGCGCGCACACACACGTATGAACGCGGTATCCTGGCACTATTTATTGAAGGCTAGTGGTCGCTTCACAACACCAGCAGCACAGTAGCTCATGGTCACAGTATCATTACACATTCTACGTGTGGCGAAGGTGCCTCTCAATGCCATGCACAGCGAGGCGATCCTGCTGCTGCTGCTGTTGGTGCTGCCTACGGGTTAATCGTTATGAACTTCCATCGAATATTTGGCAAACACTGTATTCGATTCCTTCCTTGCCTTAAGCATTACCGAGATGCTCTTTACCCAATGACTTTTAAGGCGAGAATTAATTCAGCACGATCTCGCGTGCGCTCGCACACACGTGCGTACAATTTACACGCCGACTCCAGCCAAGTCCGGGTTCCACCGGGCGTCAGTGTCTGTGGTCACGTCCCGAATAACGCCCGGGACTCACTGGCACACGGCGCAGCGGGCGGTGGGGCCGGCACGGGTCACACCGTGTACTGGTACGGCTCCGCTTTTCCGTAATCCGGCGCTACAAAAGGGTTGAACCACGCGACGGAGAACGGGTGACCAAACACGGACTTCATGTTCATCCACTTGGACTGCTTCACCCACCGGGGCTCCTCCCTCTTCAGCTGCTCGATCCCCTGCACAGCACAGAGACATCATCATCATCATCAGCCACGATCAATCCTGTCATCATCTTAATCATACACAGTCAATTCCCTGCAGGGCAGCCATCACCAGACTGAAATTTGCCCCCATTATCAGAAAACAATCCAACCCTTATTTCTTCAGGAGTTGGAAACAACCAGCTAGATGTGTAAACACGGTCTGCTTCGCAAGGGAGACCTGGATCAGATCGAAGACCAATTCAGACATCAAACTGGTAGCAAATCAAATGAATGCCAAAGCAAGAATACAACTAAATGCATAAAATGGATGTATGCCCAGGGGCTCAATGGCGTGTCAGAGCGCGGAGCCAACAATACCAAGTCCCTTGGTTGGGATCTGGGCAGTCAAACTGGATTCTCAAGTGCAGCGAGTCCGTGGTCTCAGCCACATCACAAATCACAGGCTGCTGCTGCTGCACAGGCTGCTGCACAGGCTGCTGCTGCTGCACAGGCTGCAGCTGCTGCACAGGCAGCTGCTGCTGCTGCACAGGCTGCTGCTGCTGCACAGGCTGCTGCTGCTGCTGCACAGGCTGCTGCTGCTGCTGCACAGGCTGCTGCTGCTGCACAGGCTGCTGCTGCAGCTGCACAGGCTGCTGCACAGGCTGCACATGCGCTGCTGCTGCACAGGCTGCTGCTGCAGCTGCACAGGCTGCTGCTGCTGCAGCTGCACAGGCTGCTGCTGCACAGGCTGCTGCTGCTGCACAGGCTGCTGCTGCTGCACAGGCTGCTGCTGCACAGGCTGCTGCTGCACAGGCTGCTGCTGCTGCTGCACAGGCTGCTGCTGCTGCACAGGCTGCTGCTGCTGCACAGGCTGCTGCTGCACAGGCTGCTGCTGCACAGGCTGCTGCTGCAGCTGCACAGGCTGCTGCTGCAGCTGCACAGGCTGCTGCTGCACAGGCTGCTGCTGCTGCACAGGCTGCTGCTGCTGCACAGGCTGCTGCTGCACAGGCAGCTGCTGCACAGGCTGCTGCTGCTGCACAGGCTGCTGCTGCTGCTGCACAGGCTGCTGCTGCACAGGCTGCTGCTGCACAGGCTGCTGCTGCACAGGCTGCTGCTGCTGCACAGGCTGCTGCTGCTGCTGCTGCTGCAGCACAGGCTGCTGCTGCACAGGCTGCTGCTGCTGCACAGGCTGCTGCTGCTGCACAGGCTGCAGCTGCTGCTGCTGCACAGGCTGCTGCTGCTGCACAGGCTACAGCTGCTGCTGCACAGGCTGCTGCTGCTGCACAGGCTGCTGCTGCACAGGCTGCTGCTGCTGCACAGGCTGCAGCTGCCTGTGATTCGAGCCCGGGTTCCTGGCGGTGCTCCCGCAGCGCCCCGACCTTCGAGCTACCGGGCTACGTCCCGGAAGACGCGGCCTGCAGCGCGACACGCGGTTGCACCGCCCGCGTACCGTCTCGTCGGTGCAGATGGAGTAGACCTGCGTGCCGCACATGATGGTGGTGAAGATGAAGAAGAGGAGGCCCTCGAGGGACAGCAAGATGAGCAGGATCACGGAGGACGACGGGGAGAACGTGCTGCAATCTGCTCGCGACACAACGGTTACACACGCGGAGATTATTTTCCCCACTCGGGTCGCTGGCGGACCGGAGCTCGCCTTGATACAGAACGCGACTAGTAGCCACAGACACGGCGAGAGTAATACTGGACGTGGTGTGCCGGGCACGGGATGATTTTCTGGGTCGCTGACTCGGACAGAGCCGGCTCAAATTAAATTCAGGTTGCGTGGCACGATGGCGGGGTTTTATGTGTGGAGATATAAGGATTTGCTTCCCACTTCTTTTGTGATCATTTGTTAGCATTTTTGGTCACGATATGATTCAAGACACTATTATTATGGTGGTGCACTACGGCGCCTCTAGTGGTCGCAGGGCTCACTAATCCAGGAAGTGCAATGACACAATTCTTACAACACAGATTTTTACACGTCCAATTACAATCACGTATATAGCAGTAATGTGTTAACATTCATACATATTAATGCTGATCAGAAAAGAAAAAAACAAACAGATATCAGAGAAGAGGCCACCAAATATAAATGAGCGAATAGACGTGAGAGCACTCACTCTCCCAGTTCTCCCCGGAGCAGTACACCAAGTGGATGAGCACCATGAGGAGTGCGTGTACGGAGATGAGCGCGATGTACATCTGTGAATGAACAAGAGCACAACGCTGCACTGGCACCAAGAGGCAACACAAGCCGACGAGCGGCCTTCACGTTGCCGCAGCTTCATTGCTTTTCATAAGTTGTGAACATTACATCGTGTCCTGTTTGTGGTACCGGCGACATGTCATGAGCCCCAAGTTTCCACTCGCAACTCTCGCAGAGCCGTGCAGCTCTTCGTGCCCATGGAAACAGATACTACAGAGCTACCTCTAAGAACGCGTCAAGTGACCCACGATTCACACAGTAGGGGGCAGCACTTCTCCACCTGTCCTGCCGCAGTCATGCTCGTCACATGGCAGTCAAACCGATACACATTTTCATTCTCACCAAGGCAAGACTGTTTTAGTGGGGATTGGTCATAACAGGACGATCGGACATTCCCATTTCTAGCCAATCCCACGACCGTGCAGCAAGTGGGAGGAAACCCCAGTAGCTGGATGTCGTCAGTACGTGTTCATTATTCTTATTATTCTTATTGTTGACTCAGAGAAGCCTCACTGAGTCTCGGGATTCTTTTTAGGAGGATTTGGTTGTTTTTGCTGCGATTCAAGTGCACCCGACTCTGCTGATTAGACACTGTTTATGTATGGGACCTTTCTTTGCCATTATCCAGTATCAAAGTATAAGAATGGGGTTTACCCTTTCTGACAATAAAACAGGTGTTAAGATGTTCAAACATGAAACAAAAACCTTTTGCAAGGAATCATATCTGCATTAACCACATGTGGTGTTAGACCAACTTATGCATTCACACAGGTGGTCGTGCAGGGCCGTGGAATGTACACAACAACTTTTATTTTTTAACCAGATAAACGGAAAGGTGAGGGAGACGCATTGTCTGCTTGTTTATCATGACGGTCCTGCCAAGTTTCTGCAGAAGGGGGTGACGTTTCCAAGGATAATCCCAATTGAGTAACTTTGAAGGTAAATTTTCAGCATTGCAGTTCTTGGCAACTACCAGTTACAATCTACATTGTTTTAGCTATGGGGGGAAACCACACAGAAAGATACCCCAGTCAGGATTGAAACTCACACCCCTTCTTTCTGTGAGGCACACGTGTTACCGCTGCGCTGCCCTGCCACTACACGTGGTCACCCTGCACGCCACGTCACACGCAGAGGATACTTACTGTGAAGAGTACAAAGTACTTCTGGTTGCTTTCACCGACACAGTTATTCACCCAGGGACAGTGGTGGTCCATCTTCCTGATGCACCTCTTGCACACGCTGCCCGGATCAGATAACCATCATCACAATCGTGAGTACATTTTGTACCGTTACTGTCGTTCTTATCGCGCAAGGCTATCACGGAGGAAGCCACTGCTACGCTTCACGGACACGGTCTGCAGTACAATCGGGGGCGGTGTTGCTGCTGCATAATCCTAATTGAGCAATCTGCAGGTTGACTCAGCCCATCGTCCCTACGGGGCCGATAAAATCAGTGCGGAAGACAACAGTGGTTGTTCTCTGCATAGACATGCCCCTGCTGAAGATTTGAGATGAGCATAAACTTAGGTAAATGAGCTCTGCAAGAGCTTAAATGCCCCAGCGACGCAACGAAGTGCCTTGCATCGCATCTCATCTCGACCGTGCCGATGCCCCGCTGCAGCCTATCCCAGGGGACCCGCGGCAGCAAGCCATCCCCACGCGGCGCAAATGGTGGACGGTGCGTGGGGCGGCGATACGAGCTCCTCGTGGGAGCGGTGGTCACCTGCAGTGGTGGGCCCGGTCCGGCTTGATGCTGCAGCACTTGGGGCACTTGTAGACCACCTGGCCGGGCTGGAGCTGCAGGCTCTCGATGTACTCCTTCGTTGCGTTGCCCTTGGGAACAGCGCCCTGCGACGCGGACGTCAAAGCACGGGGACACCGATGAGCGGCGCCACGTCGCGACACAAAACTCGTCGCGTGGGAATTGCCGCAAAGCCCAGAGACAAAGAGACAAAGATCCCCGTGTAGCTTTGAAGGCTTGCATGGCATACGAGGGGGTGGGTGGGTGGCCAGCACAACACCCGGATGCTTTTGTCTCCCCCAGTGCTGATGGTTAGACGCTGCACCAGGCTGATTTGACTGGTTCAAATATCCGCCACTGTTATTGTTAGCGAGCAGGAATTGTGCTCGAGTCGTCAGGTTCGTAGCACTGCACACTGACCACTGCGCCACCACTTCCGCAAAGCCTAAAAACCAAGACAAAGATCTCCCGTACAGCCTTAACAGACTGTTGGGGCAAGTGCTGTTAGCGAGCACCTGTGAAAGCCGGCACGGCGCACGAGAGGATGGGTGGTCAGCACCACGCCCGTCCGGCTTTGTCTCTCCAGTGGCGATGTTTACACATCACACCAGGTACTCATTTGAGGCTGAGTCGTCTTAGGGGAGGCCCAAGATCGATTCCGATAATCGTCACTGGCATTGGCCATGGGAGAGAATCGAACTCTGATCACCGGGTTCGTAGCAACAGCGCGCTAGCCACTGTGCTGCCACTTCTGCAAAGCCCCCACATACACACATGCGCGCACGCGTTTCCAACACGGGACACCGTTGAACATCATGAGTGTTGAAATCCATGGCCTAAGCAGCAATGCACGGCAGTGTAAAAAACAAGAAAAAGCATGCATATGTTTGGCGTCTGTAACGCTGTGCAAAGTGCGTTTGTTCTCGGAAGTATATATTTTTTTATGAACTTGTACCGCCTGCTACGATGTATGGATCAGAAATGTGGACATAACTACCGAGCTGTGGGCAACCATTTGATTCACTCGGCCGGTTTCGACAGCGTGGCAACGCAGCACAACTTTAAAATAAAATTTCATCTACATTGACTCATCTTTACGAGCGTTATCGTCACCCTCCTTTAGACAGACCCTGGGACGGCCGTTAATGATTTAGCCTCGATTGAAAAGCATTCCACAAGGGGTCCTATTGATCGTTGTGTTGCTCATGTAGTTGCCTGACTTCTAGATTATATGTTATTGTTCGCAGTGATCTTTGAGAACTATATATGTACTCACGTCAAGGGGCTAAAGGTTCTGTTAAGAACATTTTGCAGGTTTTGGAGGGATGCGTTGCTCGGAGGGACGATGGCCAGCAGTCAAGCAACATAACACACCCCAGAATACGTCTACCGCAGAGATGGAGCAATAACATTATCCCATGTGTATAAACTAGACGGATTGATGCGTTGCGAGACCGTGGCGCTTTGGGAAACGTTAAAATGTTGCCCACAAGGTAAGTCAATAATGCCACTTGTCGCCAGTAACGGCTCTGAGTCAGCGGGGAAACGGCCACATTCCTGGCTTGCTGTTGACGTTGCCTGGCTATCAGCAGATGTATGAGGCAACTCCTCCCTGTTCAAAGATAGCAGACTCAATTAGGTGGCTTGGTGGCTCAGAGGTCAGTGCGGAGCTCGGACCGCCGGGTCCCTGGGTTAAAATCTAGGTTCAAATCCAGGTTATATCCAATAACTGCACCAAAAAAACTATTACAACAAATTTGGTTATTCACTTATTTTTGATCATTTAAAGCTCTAAGAATTGAAAGTATGAGTGCCTGCAGTGTGATGAACATTACTGACAAAAGGCAGAGACAGTGTTGCCCTCTACTGCATGCGGACCAGCGTGTCACTTGACGAAGGAATCTCAGAGGTAGCTCTGTCATATCCACTTCCGGGTACTTATGTCTCGTGACATGACAGCAATATGACAATTTGGTAAAAATTGGGAAAACATATAAAAGATTGTACCGTGATTTTACTATCATCAGTCAGGAAAGGCTGAGAGCGCCTGCTGGCCCACAATTCAGTTTGATCCGTCCCACTGAACGAGACGCTTGCTCAGCGGTGGTCAGCCGTCTCCTTACCACTCTTCAATCGCTGCTACTACAATGGTCACTGTGAACTTCACTCATTCATTCCTCCACCCAAGTTCGAGACTCGTTCTACCAGACTCTTCCATCTCATCAACTGTGTTCAACCACCACACTGTAGGTCACAACAACTTACTCACCCACTCACTCACCCACTCATCCACCCACCCACCCACCCACTCACTCACCCACCTGTTGTATATGTTGGGTATGAAAATTTGTTATGTTGTATGCGTGCGTGGGTGAATTATTATGTTGTATGTGTGGGTTATGAATATTCAGTGGAAATAATAATAATTAAATGAAATTTGTCCAAATGTGTAATTATCCGGAAATATGTTAATTTATGTAATTACGCACATTTTAATTATGCCAATTCGAGAGGTAATCGTATTAATTATGCGAGTGGGTGTAATTATGATAACGCAAGTCGTTATGATAACCAGACCCCGGTTCACCCCGTTATCGCTTTAACATTTACTGAGTATGTATTAGTGTGTTTATTAAGGTCACCAAGTTCAAATCTCAACGCAGAAGCAGATCTTATGCATAGATTTCAGGAAAGAATCACACAACCACTTCTGTATTGATCAATTTATTACTAATTCAACCTTAACTATGATATAGTATGCGAACTCTCAATCCCGGAACGTCAATACGGCATCAATACAGTATCATCAACGATTGTCTGATTTCACTTTGACAACTGCACATGGATCCCGCATAACGCGATGGTTGTTAGTGAGAGAGAGAGTCGTTAAAACATGCAAATACTATGCTAAGAAAACCTTAACGTTAATGAATGATTATACTCAATATTGTTCACGCAGTACCGCACTCCTTATTGATCATACGCAACCCTTATCACGTTGTTAACACCTTGGGTCACGGGACAGTTGAATATTCTGTAGAGGATGCGAGTACGTGCGGCGATTATGACTGAAGGATACTTGAAAGATTATACGGCGATAAAAAAAAAACACAATCAAAACAGTTACTATTCTTAAAGGCACCAATCTCAACAGATACATCGGCAGGTTATCTGACAGCAGAACGGCTCGGAGTAAGGGCCTGCGACGGTGCTCCTTTTCCGAAGATCGTTATCTTATACCAAGTTTACTAATTGGGGACCAGATCACCTGATAAGGATCCGGTGGGCCACCACTCCCCACGTGAGCGTGGCTCGGCGGAAGGAGGTGCCAAGAATCAGTTCGTATTGATGGATCTGTTGGGAATTTATGCGATTAAGAGTACAGCCCACTAAATATTAAAGATAAAAATTAAGAATACTCTTATACGACGGAGGCCACCACTCGGTCTCGTTGTGATGCCTTCCCAGCCACGGATGACTTATGGGTTCGAGTGTGTTTGAGTGGTAAGAGTTGTCTTGAATAGTCAGTGTTCGGAGTCGATTCTTTATGTCAAACAGACGCCTGGTGGTCGTGTGGTGAGGGGGCGGTGCGCGTCATACGTATCAGGCGCTCCCCTGTCACCGTGGTGAATTGGCTCGGATGGCTGTTGATACGCTGTCGCAGTTCGGAACCCGGTCGGTAGGTGGCGCCCACAACTCGCTCGTAGCGTGCAGCGCTGGATCGTCGCCAAGTCGCGACGCTCACCACCGGCGGCAGCGGAGACCTCCGGCGGCAGCAGAGATTGACGAGCTGAAGATGAGTCGAGCCGACCCGCTGGTCGCAGCTCGCTCCTGAGTCGACCCTCCCGGTCGAGCTCGCTCCTGGGTCGGCCCGCTGGTCGCCCTCGCTCCTGAGTCGACTCTCTGGTCGCACTCCTGAGTGGACCCGCTGGTCGCGCTCCTGAGTGGACCCACTGGTCGCACTCCTCCTGAGCCGACTCTCCCGGTCGCGCTCCTGAGTGAACCCGCTGGTCGCACTCGTTCCTGAGTCGACCCTCCCGGTCGAGCTTCTGAGTGGACCCTCCCGTCGCACTGGTTTCCAATGTTCAGGATCCGTTCCTTTATGCTGAAAAATCCCCCTGGATCCCGCCCACAAGGCGGGGCTTCCGATTTTTGCTGTGTCAGGATCTGTCCGTAGGCAGGTGTGTCCATGTGTGTGTCCGTATGTCCTTGTGTGCATCACTGACGGTATATTCCGTTGTCAACTCCCTCCATAAAACCCACGAGCAAACAACCAGATGTTACAAATTGTCTCGAAGTCGTCTCTCTGTCTGGGTGCAATTTATCTCTTGTCTGGCCTTCTTCATGAACCCAAAACACAGACGTTACAAATCGTCTCATAGGCGTCTTTGTTCGTGTTGCACAACCTGGAGGGAGGGGCAACACTCTCTCCGACCCGGCGCACAAAGAAATGGTTAAAAGTTTTAAGTTAACATTTGTCCCTTACTATTTCACAGTTATGATTCTGTATGTAACCTAAGGTCTGTCGTTTCCCATCGTGGTTCCCGACCCAAGTGTAGGTGTTTCCCCGAGCGTACACACACTCCTATCCCGCGCTGCGGGGATACAAAGACGGCCGGGATCTCCCTTTCTCTCCGACCCTGGGTTTAACATTGTTTTTTTTTTTATTATGTATTTATATTCGACCTGGTGGTGATTCATCCCGTTATCCTGGCTTTTCCATAAGTTTTACTTTTGTCTTTTCATGCATATACTTATTACTATTAATTTATTTCCGATATCTTAGGTTAAGGGGTAAGTTTCTTGATCCTAGGAATTCGTATTCCTTGGTGCCTGGATGGTTATATAAGCGGAATATAGTTTACGGTGAATAGCGTTAACATTGATGTTATGTGCGATATTATGTATTGTGATGTCTTTAACTTAACTTGTTTGTCAGGGCTTTACTGACACGAAGTTGCATTCCATAGCCCGCAGTCTTTGCCCCACCCTATCTCTGCTCGCCGTTGTTGTTGCCTGCCGTTAATTCAAGGCCTCATTAATTTCCGTCACCCCTGAGTAGGTGAGGGCGGTTGAACCTTGGAGTCAGTTCTGGTTTTTGTCTGCC